TCCCTTCAGCGAAAATAAATTTCAAGCAGAGATATTCTACAGTATACAACACCTACTTTTCTTGTTTCTGGTACAATACAACCATGGCATCCAGTATTTTTGCTACATTCTGATGATCACATCCATAAGCATTCTCACTGATTTCTAGTGACTGTTTATAAAGTGCTTCTGCAGTAACAAATTTATTCCACTGTGCATGAAGTCCTGCAAGCTGATACAAGGCACCAGCAACACTGGGATGGTCTGGATCCAATGATTCATAAATCTCAAGAGCTTTCTGAAGAGGAGCTATAGCCTAGTAAAGAGTCATACAGGTTTTATGATGGAGCTCAGTTTGAGTGAAGAAACTAAGAAGTAATCATCAACATATATATAGCATCACATTGCCAAACACAAAGTAATTATTTAAATATATTGCTGGATATAGATTCTGTGACAATGTCAAGTCTGTGCAATAAGGGTCAATTTGAATTTAATAATTATGGCCATCTATACAATTAAGAATCACTAACTTTATTGCTTGGCAGCACACCAAGTTATTGCATTGGTAAGTGAATATATACTTACTTCTTTAAGTAATCCAAGATCTTTTAAAAATCTTCCAAGAGTTTCATAGATTTCAGCAATCCTTGGTAAAGTAATTAATCCACCAATCACTGGCAACACAGAACAAGAATAAATATGACAGGAATAAGGATGATGGGAAATATCACAGATACCCAAGGCTAGCTGTGTACTACAAATTAGTTTCTATATCTGTGGTGTCCTTCAAAAGGAAATGTAAACGCACTTTGTTCCAGGTACATAATCAACACATCAAAACACATTAAAAATTGACTTACTTTCTTCACATTTTTTAATAGTATTTAAATAAGCAGTTGCCATGGTAGTTTTATCAGCACCTACATATTGCCAATATCTTATCAATTCAGCACAGCGCCCTCTAGTGTACAACTTTCTGAATACACACAGGTTACTAATACACTTTGTTAACTCTTCTTTGTTGGAAGTACTCTGAATCAACCAAGGAAGTTCATCAACAACTCTCCAGGTAATAAGACCAGGTCTGTAAATAATCACACAGGGCAGTCAGATATGACTCTCCAGGTAATTAGACCAGGTCTGTAAATAATCACACAGGGCAGTCAGATATGACTCTCCAGGTAATTTGACCAGGTCTGTAAATAATCACACAGGGCAGTCAGATATGACTCTCCAGGTAATAAGACCAGGTCTGTAAATAATCACACAGGGCAGTCAGATATGACTCTCCAGGTAATAAGACCAGGTCTGTAAATAATCACACAGGGCAGTCAGATATGACTCTCCAGGTAATAAGACCAGGTCTGTAAATAATCACACAGGGCAGTCAGATATGACTCTCCAGGTAATTTGACCAGGTCTGTAAATAATCACACAGGGCAGTCAGATATGACTCTCCAGGTAATTAGACCAGGTCTGTAAATAATCACAAAAGGCAGTCAGATATATTGTATCAGACTATATTAGACTGTTTACTGACAGTGACACTTCTACCAAATAAGAACACTTACTGTAAAGACATAGAGTAAAAGTCTATTAACTTCTTCCTGGCAAATAACAACTCTTTTTGAAAAATACCAGAGCAGTAACTTAGCTGTACTGCTTCTCTGGCCTATAGAACGAATAGAAAACTATGTCAATTCTTGCTGGAGTTTTAAAATGAAAGGTTGGCTAGAGATAATTGTGATTGACTAGCAGCCATCATGGTTAATGGGCAGCCATTTTGGTTGACTAGCAATATTCATGATTTTATAGTTGAGTAACCATCATGGCTGAGTAACAGTACTTGTGGTTGACAAGCAGTTATCATGATTGACTAACAACCATTATAGTTGATCCATGGTAATCAAGGTTGACTAGCAAGCACTGAGGTTGATTAACAGTCATAACAGTTAAATATACATTCAACTAGTTCAGCCACATAAAATAAATACTAACCTGTTCATGCTCAAATGTTAATAACCCTGATTTACAAGTAAGAATATGTCTGTCTTGTAATGTAAAATTAATTGGTGACCAGAATGACCATGTAAGGTCTGGAAGTATCTTCATTATCTCACACTCAGATAGACCATTCCTTGAAGCATAAATAAACTGCATAACCTAATAAAACACAATATATTCGTGCATATGTTTACATCTACAATGGTATATGAATTGTACACAAGTTTAATTGTAAATCCCAAAGATGAACAAGTAATGAAAGACATGGTTGACAGTACCTCTCACCCCCCCCCACACAATAACCACATCACAATAAATTGTATATGTACCTTCTTCCTTCCACAAATGATAGT